TATCTTCATGTAGAACATTTTTCAAAATTTTATTAACAGTGACAATAACTGAAAGACCATCTTTTTTGGCAATAACAAACCCTACTACTAGCCCGACTACATCACCTAGTACTAGTCCGTCAACTACCATCGGTAACCTGGAAAGACTAAATTTTCCATCAACAACATCTCCTATTACCAGTCCTACAACATCACCTATTACCAGTCCGATAACATCTCCTATTACCAGTCCGACAACATCACCTACTACTAGTCCTACAACATCACCTATTACCAGTCCGACAACATCACCTAAAACTAGTCCGACAACATCACCTATTACCAGTCCGATAACATCACCTATTACCAGTCCGATAACATCTCCTATTACCAGTCCGACAACATCACCTATTACCAGTCCGATAACATCACCTATTACCAATCCGATAACTTCTCCTATTACCAGTCCGACAACATCACCTACTACTAGTCCTACAACATCTCCTATTACCAGTCCGATAACATCACCTAATACCAGTCCGACAACATCACCTACTACTAGTCCTACAACATCCCCTAATACCAGCCCGACTACATCACCTATTACCAGTCCTACAACATCACCTACTACCAGTCCGACTACATCACCTATTACCAGTCCTACAACATCACCTAAAACTAGTCCGACAACATCACCTACTACTAGTCCTACAACATCACCTACTACCAGCCCGACTACATCACCTATTACCAGTCCTACAACATCACCTACTACCAGCCCGACTACATCATTTATTACCAATCCTACAACATCACCTACTACCAGCCCGACTACATCACCTAGTACTAGTCCGCCAAGTACCACCGGTAACTTGGGAGGAATAAATGTTACGCCAACAACATCACCTATTACTAGTCCTTCAACATCACCTATTACCAGTCCTACAACATCTCCTGTTACCAGTCCTACAACATCACCTACTACAAGTCCGATAACATCACCTAATACCAGTCCGACAACATCACCTACTACTAGCCCCACAACATCACCAACTACAAGTCCGACAACATCACCTTTCACCAGTCCGACAATATCACCTACAACTAGTCCGACAACATCACCTGCAACTAGCCCGACAACATCACCTACTACAAGTCCGATAGCATCACCTTCCACCAGTCCGACAACATCACCTATTACCAGCCCGATTACATCACCTAGGGCCAGCCTTACTACTACTTTTGCGATTGGAATCCTCATCCCCCTTTTGCCTACTACCAGTCCAGCAACTTCACCGTCTACCAGTCCGACAACATCGTCCATTACCAGTCCGACAACATCACCTACTACAAGTCCGACAACATCACCTATTACCAGCCCGACAACATCACCTTCCACCAGTCCGACGACATCACCTACAACTAGCCCGACAACATCACCAACTACAGGTCCAACAACCTCACCTACTACAAGTCCGATAACATCACCTTCCACCAGTCCGACATCATCACATAGAACCAGTCCGACAACATCACATAGAACCAGCCCTACTACTACTTTTGAGATTGGAATCCTCATTCCCCTTTTGCAACAAAATTTCCCACCGACTCCAGATCCTAGACCTATAACTACACCTGTTGAGGCATTGCCAGATCCAGGTATGAATAACTTTATTTTCAACCTGAAATGTCAAATAAAAATAATAGGAAAATCTTTTTAAATAATTATTGTTTTAATCATTATGATATGACTCATATCGATCCTGTTAGAATCTAGTAGCTTAGCGTAACTCCATAGTGTACATTACGTATATTGTTCTCGGAAAAGAGAGTCCTTGGGATGCCCCATGTGTTATCATACAATAGCTTCAAGCTACAAATATCCCCCAAGGAGAATTTGGAATCTTAGCATTTAGAGGAAAAGAGAAAAAGTAAATCTTATGATTTCATTTCATATTTTCTTTTTTAGACGAAATGTGTATTGGCTGTAACATATTTCAAGGTATTGGATATACTTCATTCAAAGGGGACTGTACTAAATATGTTCAGTGTGAATCAATTGGTGAAAAGGTGGTTGGACAGGTGATGAGCTGTGCTCCAGGAATGTTTTGGAATCCAATGGTACCGGGGTGTAGTCCAGCTCAATCAACTTCTTGTAAATATGGTAAGGTGTATGCAATGCAGTCTGATATAAAAAAATATTTCGCTTCATACTAAACTCAGCCCGTGATCTGGCGATCCTTCTTGACCTGATTGAGCTATCATTGTTGGAGTGAATGTAATTATACCAAAAGGATAGTTGCTTTTGTAATGATTGAAAATGAAAAGGCCAAAAATCGAGTGAAGTTACCAAACAAACGTAAGATGTAAAAGTGTAATCTGTGTGGCAATTAGGTCCAGATGAGTAAAACCAGCTTCTTTGAATTTCTTTATAGATAAATGTAGGGCATCGCCAGAAGGTTCAAAAAATGAAATAGTAGGAAGTTGTAGAAGTTATTATGAATGTGTTGGAAAGAAGTCCAAAATAGGATGCTGTAAGATTGATGAGATCTTTGTTAAAGACACTTGTGTACTAGATACAACTGCTTCATGTTCCGATGGTTGTCTATTGGATCTGAGACTTAAAGGTAGGACATCATCTACAGTTGGAGATGGTCAAATTCTTTAAAGACTGGAAACCAGGATCAGCAGAAATGAGGATGTCATCATGCCATAAAAATCTCAAAATTGATATTTAAGGGATAAATAGCAGTAAATCTGTTTTTATTTTTAAGCCGGTGTATGTTCGACAAGAAGAGCTGTTACTGGTGATGATACAGTCTATGAAGCCTTAAATGCTAGAAATCAATGGACGCAACTATCTTGTACAGCTGGTAACAAATACGATGCTGTTTCCTGTTACTGTATAGCACAAGATACTGTTAGTGTAGTATCTTCAAATCCAACAGGTAAACATTCGTCCAAGAAGATGCTTGCTAAGAAAATTTTTGTTAACTCATTTTCAATTCAATTGCGGACAAGATCTTTATCATCGAGATCATGTGGCTCTCCTTCAAACAAGCTCAAGTATTTTTCTCACCTAATCTATAATGCGGAGAGAATTGGATAATGCACCCAACTTTTCGTGAAAAACAAACATTGAGATTTAACCAGAAAAATGCATTAAAACAAATCCCCATGGGACTGTGATCGACATAAGATAACTCAATAGAACTTTTGCCTATCCAAAGACATGGTTACACGTTGAAATTTTCCCCAATCGAATATGAATAAAACTTGATTGGACAACTACAAATATATCTGTAAATAGTTAGGGAAAGACTGAGAGTGATTGGTAGTATTGACCTTCATATCTTTATCTGAAATTCAAGATTTGGTTCATCATCTGACCCATCTTCACAATGGTCAAGCTATTACGTCTTCATCTTATGCTTTGACTGCTATAGCCAAATATCTTGTTTCGCGTAAGTTTGTGAATGCAACAATTTTTTGGATTGTACGCTATACAGCCAATCTAAGCCCTCGGCAGAAAGACTGTTGAAAATCCGCTGGCCTCAAATCCAATCAAATCGCTGACCGTGAAACAAGCTTGTCAATGTATACAATGAAGACGTAGGCTAATACCTTGACCATTGTGAAGATGCATCTGATAATACGAATATTATTATGTTTCTTCAGGGGGATTTAAAAGGACATTTGCGACATTTCTTTTACCAATCTTACCTTAGTCTCAGAAACGGGAATCAGCTAAGCTATAAGTTCACAGCTCAGCGTCAAAATTTTAGCCTTCATATTAATGTGTTTCACGAATTATCCGCGTTTGAAAGTTAAAAAGATGAGTCGTCTTTTCTTTAGACACTGTCATATACAGAAAAGACATCTATAGAAATAGGAAAATAAATTATATATATATATTTGAAGGAATTGTGCGATTTTCGTACAATTCTATAGTAGGTTACTTCTGAAGACTATTTACATAATATATTCAAGACTTAAATCACTCCTCCCGAAAGAAAAATGGCGCATCTGTTCCTTTAATGATGGCGTTTTGTATTTCAGACTGGTGTACTGGTGTAGTTAGTCAGGCATTTCGACCAAATCCATATGATTGCAGTATGTACGTCCACTGTGCCTTGATTTTTGATACTGTGCAGAAGTTCAATAAAACCTGTCGTGGAAATTTATTTTGGTCTAATACGGCGTGTGCTTTCGCTAAAGACGTGGACTGTGAAATAAGTAAGTTGATAATCATAAGGATAGTCAGATGGAAGACACGAAACAGCACAGGTCATACTTATATTTAGAATAAAACATTCAGCATCAGTCATTAATCAAACAGTAGTTGGCGATTTAGCGGTGCGTGATGTCTGCGAAAAATCTGCGTACCATATGCTTATAGTAAATAATAAATTTTCACGGGCAGACCTCTACCGAGTGTTGCTGAAACAAAGATGTTGACGATCCATAGCTTTACCATCTTTGACTTAATCTATACTTGCAGTTCAATGTGAAACAGCAGCAAATGGCGCCACATATCCGATAGGTAACAACTGTAAAAATTATTATGAATGTTCTGATGGTAAAACTGAAGTAAAATGTTGTGAAACTGGACAGTATTATGACGGTTCCAATTGTGTTCCTGATACAGCAAGTTCCTGCTCCGACGATTGTATAATTGAAAGTACAGATAGTAAGTATGTCGGTTTATTTTCGGCTTTTCTAAGCGAAAAAGAAAAAAAAGAGATACATTAGGTCTTTATTGATGAAGTACCAATAAATGCAAAGTATATGTCAATACCCACTTTTGGAATCAGAGACAAATTCATGCCTAGATTGTAGTTTATATCCGTGATTCGAATATTTTATATGTGAAATATGTGTCAAGAGCCACGTAGTACACGGATCTATATAAATGCTTACTCTTAGTCTATTTTAAAGTTCACCCTGACCCTGTGCTTTTGAGTGATTTTGTTTTCCTTAAATTGTATGTTGGTTTTGATTCAGCTTCGAGGATAAGGTGTGAACTTATGGCCCACTTTGAATTTGATTGGGACTATGTTGACAGTTCTACTAACAGAATAATTCCTGCCACCACCAACACAGAACTGTCAGGAACCAGTACAGATCAATATATCACCTTTAATTCTACGTCGAACATGATTCTATGGTACTTTGCTAATATGGAATTTGGGAAAATTCTTGACATAAGACTTCGATTTCGACTTCCACTAGAAGCTGACACAGGTGCACGATATACTATATTAGCAAATTGTTTTGGTTTGGACGATATGGGTCCATCCATCTATATAGGAGTACAGAGTGGTGTAAACAAAAAAATTGTTGCTTTTCTGGACACTACTGATGATGTTAATATGAAGGAGATATCGGTTCCATATTTTGTAAGTTATTTGATTTTGTAAATCGTTTGATTTTGTAAGTCGTGTGATTGGGTTCCCACAGTCTTACAGCCCAGGATGTGATTTGAGTAGACTACACGTGATTATAAGTAATTTCTTTTGGCATATTAGAGGATTCACATCAAGAGAGACCTCCATAGATTGATTATAATGTTAACCCTTTCAGGGGGGTTGGACAGATATACGACTAACATATGACGGGATGAAGCTTCAGCTCCAATCTGGTATAGTAATGACAGAAGATATAAGATCTGGAGCAATCACCAGACGACAACCACCACTAGTATTTGGAGTGTCTGCAATGCCTGATGACGTTGATTTGATCGGATTGATAGATGAAGTAAGTTGTACATGTATATTGAATGATCTTTAAATTGGTATAGTTGTATAAGACTGTCAACAAATCTGAAGACAAACTGTTACTAAATGCTCCTTTACTCTAGGACTATACAACGACAATACATGGGTCCGTGGACATGGTTCAACCAGTCCCTGTGGTAGTTGAACCACTGAACATGACTTGAATGAATTAGACGGTGAATCGGTGTCTACATTTGAATATTTGTCTGTCTGGCCATCATCATTGACAACATTTTCTTGCGTCTAGAGGACTGAATTTCAGTGACACAACTAATAAAAAATTTATTTGTTGGTTTCAGTTTCAAATTTCAAAATGTATTCCACCAATAACAAACCCTCCAGGTAAACAATATGATTTCTTCACATCTCCATATTTTTTAATCTATATTAGTTCATCATTCATTAAAATACATCAACAATGTCAAAAAATAATTCTGTAAATTGCTTTTATTTGTAGTATTAACAATACCAAGTCTCCCTGGGCTTGCACCAATTCGAGCTGCACCCTTGTTACTAACGCCACCAACTGTTAATCTAGATACATCAATCACTACAAGACCTATGACATCACCTGTAACTTCACGAACATCAATGGTGCCAATTCTCTCAGTCAGAACTCAAACTCAAAACGTTCTAGGTATTATATACAAATTTGTATTTGTTTTATTTTGTATTTCTTATGGGCACCATGCATTTTAATTTGAACATTATACACATCATTGTGAAAGTACCGATTTTGCACCACACAAAAAACTCCCAAGAACAATAAGTAATGTATTTCGTTCTTTTTGTTGATGAGCTGTTTTAAGTACAAAATCTCGTCTTGTAAGTAGTTTTGTATTGGTATTATTCTGATCTAGCCCAGACACTATGTAGTACAGCACCTACCATACCAGTAATCTTACCAGTATCCGGAGACTGTGCTTCTTACATAGAATGTTCAACTATTAATGGTGTTTTAAACTATCAGACATTAGAATGTTCACCAGGATATTTCTTTGATGCTTCAAGTCAATCTTGTAAATGGGCGGGTGATGTTACTTGTATGAGTGGTAAGTCAAAGATTAAATCTGTTGATTAAATCATAGAAATATAAGGAAATGACATATCTGCAGTTATTGCTTATGACGGCATTTTACATCCTAATCAAACTTTTCGTTATATAACAGTTTCCATATGCGTACCTTTTGTTTCAAATGTAATCATACAAGACTACCAACAGCGCCATGGACTTAGTCATGATATGCAAGCGGGTGAGGAGCTTCTGTGGATTGTGCAGTACCTTATGCTTTCACGCTACATGAAATGAAATTACATTCACATATGCTGGAGCCAAATTCTGCCCTTATGTTTCAGATGTCTGTAGAGTATCACCAGCTGGTACGAACGTTGCCTTGGGAACTAGCTGTAAGAATTACTATAAATGTGAATTTGGAAAATCTGTTGTCTCTTGCTGTGGACCAGGTGAAATGTTTGATGGTAAACAGTGCCAGGTTGATAGTAGTAATACTTGTACTGAAAATTGTTTAATAACATCATCACCAGGTAGGTACAATTCTTCCATTACTACCTAACCATGCCCCTCTAATCAGCACTTATGTTTCCAAATGGAGATCTGCTGGATGTCGTGGATATGTTGACAAGTCAGAGTTGAACTCGTGTTGTTTAACTCATTACCGGGGTACTCTTCTGTGACATGAAAAGTGCATGTACGGCATTGGATGTAACACTAAAATTTGAAATGTAATCCTTCCACATTATTCTCTTTCCTCAAAAATATATCTCTGTTTTCAGTGTTATTGTCGTCATTAAAGATCTCAGATAACAGTGAGTACTATTCAATAATTGTTCATATTCACCACAACTTGATTACTTGTTGAGAGGCAATACAACTATTTATTAGCTAAACTATATTCATTAAAGGGACTTAAAGGGACAGATTCGCTAGTTTTGGGGGTTTATTTTGCGTCTTGAATGTTTGTAAATAGCCTTCAGAAGTACTAGAAATATACAGAAATCGCATAATTCCTTCAAAAATATCACAAAGCAGGAATTTCACTTTCTATTTCTATTTATGTCTTTTCTATATATGGCAGAGTTTCAAGAAAAGACGAGTCGTCTTTTATACTTCCAATTGCGGATAATTCTTAACACACATGGATTTGAAAGATCAAATTTCAACGGTGAGCTGTGAACACTATTACTGATCAGTTAGGTTAACAAAGTCCCGTTTCTAAGACTAAAGTTCGATTAGTCAAACGAATGGCGCATCTGTCCCTTTAACCAAAACCAAAAATTCTATTACGTTTTAATGTATTTACTCCCCTTTCTATACAGCTCTATGTGAAGGCTGTGTTATCAGTGATAACTTTGGATACAATCATCATCCTGAAGACTGCTCATTGTATGTGCAATGTGAACCTATAGCTACTGGCTTTAAAGCTACCATAAGAAAATGTGCTGTTGGATTCTTTTGGTCGAAAACGTCTGATACATGTGTTCCATCAAACCAAGTTCAGTGTAAAAATGGTGAGTATTAGATAAGAATTGTACTACCGCAGAAAGTAAAATAAATAAACGTTCCTTAAATGTCGTTATTTCCACCTGAACTCATTTAATTCCAAACTAACGTCAATACTAATAACTAAGATCAACGTAATAGTAATCGCGTCACATTTTTTTACTTGCCAAAATCCGGCGACTAAATCTAATGTTGTTTAGAGCTCTTCTTACAGTCTGCCTTCGGTTTTCCTATATTTCATGAATGATATTCGGATAGGATATTTCAAACTTATAAAACTTCAATAAAGTCGTTACAGAATCAATACTTTCTATCAGTCTTCTAGATTTGCACACATGTAAACACCCAAGAGGAAATCCTATCTGATAATTCTTTGGCGTTACAGTTAACGATTTTTATTTGTAGACAAATGTTTATCGCTGGCAGATAAATCAACACATCCTATGAGAGATAATTGTAGAAGTTATTATGAATGTAAAAATAGTAAGAGTTATACTGCTTGCTGTGCTCTCGGATATGAATATCTTTCGGGTGACTGTGTGATAGATACTGACGGAAGCTGTACAGATCGATGTGTTACAGATCCTGTCAAAACTAAATCAACATGGAAAGGTATTTTGTTTGTATTTTTTTCTTCGAAAATTCACGATTCTCTGAACATGCGATCAAGGACCGAAAGGCCATTCCGTTAAACATATAGCAGGGACACTGCTCATATTCAATTGACTAAAAACCTTCCTAAGAAGTCTGTTTCTGGGAAGTTTGAAGGCTATAAATGATCACAGCAAACTAATTCACTGGGTCATAAATGTCTCAAGCTAAAAAAATTACTAATTTCAGATCACAATCATAACTTTTTTAATCAAAATTTTTCCAGATCCATGTACATATCAAAGAGCTGTATTAGGCGATGAACTGGCTTTTGAACGTTTTTCAAATGATGCAAACACATGGATCAGGATGTCATGCAATACTAATTCTAAATTTGACTCAACAACTTGTTTGTGTATGGCTTCAGTCCCTTCAATCAAAACTTCAGCAACAGCAACAGGTAAGGACAGATGTATAAGAAATTTTTGTTGAAACCTTGTACTTAGACTGATGAGCCAGTGAAATGCATGAATAGGTACCTACATATATTATGACCAAGTGACTACACTCCCTATAGTCTAAGTGGACTTTGAAATAAGTAGGAGCAGTAAGACGTGGGTTCGTTTTCATCTTTTGATTCTAGATGTTATGACAACTTACTTTATTCTAGGATGTTTCCCTGATGCCGATTACCCATTCAATACAGATCGTTTGGACAAATCAACACCTCCTATTACAGCCTCGATAACAGCCCCGTTAGTCAACCCCGGTGATAAGGGGTTCATTAGATTCCAATCAAGTCACAGAATGGTCTTCTGGAAATATTCTGCTTTTGAATTCGGGGAATCAGTGGAAGTGCGTCTGAAATTTCGACTACCGTCTTCAGCTAATAATGGAGAGCGCTATACAATCATTGCAAATTGTTTATCCTTGTGTGAGGATGGATTAGGGCCAGGCATTTATCTTGGAATTCAGACAGGAACGCCAAGTTATATCATAGGAATGGTTGATACTACAGACAACAATGATTTAAAAGAGCTAAAAATTCCGTATACTGTAAGTATTTGACCAAGATAATCGATATGTTCTTGTAACTCAATACAAGTCAATTTACTTCATTTTAAAACCCTTTGATTGCATCTCTAAAAATTGACATACATTCAATTCGAAAACCAACTGAACACTCTTACACTATGATAAATACCATTATAGACAATTATTAATCTTCAATACACTGACTGCTTTATTTAACTCAGGATGGTTGGGTAGATATTAAACTACGGTACGATGGTAAGAAAGTGTTAATGCAAGTAGATGGTACTACAGCAGAAGATGAACGAACTGGACCAATTACAAGGAGACAAACTGCTCTGATGTTAGGCCGGTTTGCTATTCCTGGTGATTCAAACCTGATAGGAGATGTAGACTCGGTAAGAATATCTATTTCATTCATTAACTGCACTCAAATATCTACATAATATACAAAAATCTAAATTTCTTGAATTGCAAAATAATGCAATTAAATTACATACTTAACTGCACGGGATACTAAGTTATTGAGATGATGTACTTTAACATTTTATATATGAACAGTTAAACAAAGAACACTGTATGGAATAAACATCATTGTTATATTTTTCAGCTACAAATCTATACCTGCCTACCATAGAGATTTGATGAAATGAATAATATTCATGTCTAAAATGTTATAAAAGCCAATTTTCAAGAATCGTTACTTTTCCAAACAATATGAAATATTTACAGAATTAATAATTGTTCTTCAATATATCCAACCATCAATAATATTCTTACCACCCAATTTATGATTAAACATTTTATGACACACCCACTTACTGATTGACAGGTGCTGGTGAATTGGACCAAAGCCACATGTTAATGGTTTAAAAACAGAACATCTTAGAGTTTTTATCACATAAGACAGATCAATGTAAATATAAGGAATGAATGTGGATCTTGTTAGAGAAATAAACACTGCCTTATTATTTGAAAAACCTAACACAACCTAATTCACTCAGTTATTTGTCCTGTCACATGATAAGATACTGTTTATTTCCCTAAAACAATAACGATTCCTTCTGTGAATACATGGCTTAAGGTTGATATTAAGGTACTGATACAGGATTATTTTCATGTTATTATATTTAATGTTAATTTGTTATGGTTGATTTGTAAAGATGAGATTGGTAAAGCTAATTACATAAAAAGAAAAACAGCCCATAGTTTTATATTATATTTTAATAAATATTGCCTGTAGTCAATTACAATTCTACAACAAAATACAATGTATTTAAACATAATCTTTCTAACAAACAAACAAACAAACAAAATGGCGCTAACTCTACATAAGTTACCCAATTATGCTAATTACCTACAGGCAAAGCATTTCTATGTTTCTTAAAGCAAAATGGATTTCTATTTAATAAATCACAAAATTTCTTATAAATTCTTTCTTCATAAAAAATGAAGCCGATTTTATCAGAAAGACATTAATATTACTCTATCATTAAAGTTATACTAATCTATTCTATTTATGGGGGAGATAGAGGGCGGAGGGGGGAGGGGTCATAACTAACTACACATGTACACAATACCACTCATACACAACCCTTTATCTAAATCAATTATTACTAGCTTTGATAAAAATTATCTTGAAAATAAACACTTTGATCTGTTAAGATATTTCAGCTAAGTCACATAAAAATTTGTACTCAAGTTTAGTGTGTAGTATACAGAAGTGAATAGGCATTGTACAAAAGTGGGTAAAATAAATATGTATTAAAACAAGTGCATATTCTACACATGTGAGTTTCATACACAAGCTGACAGTTTAGACAAATGCATATTATATTAAGTGAGTAATGTACACAATAATTTTGTAAACACGAATGAACATCATACAAAAGTGAGTTGTATATATGCAAGCTTACAGTAAACAAAAATGCAAATTAACAATTCAATTAACTTTTTTTCCATAATATTAATTATTCTACCAAGAAATTTGACTATCCATTGACTAACATTCAGTAACAATCATAAGTCTAACATGTACCAGTTATACATTACTTTCATAATAAGCTATATACACTATATAACAATGATTTACAATAATATATCAAGCTTTGTTCAATCATAAATAATCAAAATATATAATAAAATCTTAAAAGTGAACACATTTAATACTTTTTAATTGTTTGTATGTATTTTCACAACTATCAATGACAAATTTACTAAAATGTTGGTGAAGACCGCAATTTTTTGCAAGAAAATACACAAATGAGTGTCATCCATTTGATGTTTAATGTTTTAATTTGGAGGGTATCAATTCAGTTATGTCACATAATAAATTGTACAGGTATAGGTGATATTTGAAATCATAATTTTATTTAATACAAAGGGCAAGGACGACACTCAAACATATTGTAAAGAAGTTTCCATCTTAAAGACATTTTTAACAGTTTCAAATTAATCAGAATGGACATGCTACAGTTATTTTTCTACGTAAAATGAAGAAATTTAAGAGTTTGGAAACCAAAGCAGTTCTGGCTCCAGATCCCTCAGTAGAAATGCTTTTGAGTTTATCCTCTTTATTTACTACAAATACAAGTTAGAGTTAATTAAATATTTCATGTTAAGTTCATATATCACTACAAACACCTGGAAAAATAAAAATATCTGACAAATTTAGTAAAAATAATGCCCAAATCAGGGTTGTGACACTAAAATGGAATTGAAACCCAAGACTTAAGGATCCACATTGAGAAAAGTGAATATAATTTAGCTGATGGGTGTGAAAATTTCCCTGAGAATGAGGATGTATGAAATTATCAAATAAATGCATTTAAATCACACCAGGAATGTTCAGCAAAAGATTTGCATTTGAGTCCCCAGAAAAGCTCTCTGAAAATAACCATTTGTTGAAGTCATCGTTGGTCCTTTATTGGTCTTATTTTCAAAAAACCTATTGCATGAAAATTTTACTAATTTTTTTTCTTTTTTTAAAGTTTGATGGATGATATACTCAATATTGTTTCAGAGCTTTATTTTAGATTTAGAAAGCATACAAACTTTTGAATTATACACTATAATATAATATATGTTAACAAAACATTCTGAATAAAAAGATATTTCTTGAATTATAATTGATTTGAAGACTTCTCATAATATTTCTGCAATGGTTAATGGATGATATAGCAATAAAAATGTCTCTTTGTCAAGATGATTTTGAAGACTTGAATTCAATTTCTTATTTTTCAGAAGTTAAATTCAAACTCAATTAAACTCAGTAGTGGTACAAAATATGATGCTATCAAAAACTATAATACCATCACAAAATATGATGCTATCACAAAATATGATGCTATATATGATGCCATCACAAAATATGATGCTATATATGATGCTATCACAAATATGATCCTATCACAAAATATATTCTTGGTCAAAACAGGAATGTTATAAAATAATAATATACGTAACGAACAACAGAAATAAAAATCAGAATGGATGCCTTGTTATATAGGATGAAGACTAGCTTCTATGTCAATGTGTACAAAATTCATCTAGAAGATAGGGGACATCATAGAACAACAAAATTCATTGAATAATTCAGATAGATTGCATTGAATATACCAGACAAGGTAGTAATATTTTGATAGAGAAAGATGGCACAGTCAAATCTCAGCCGGGCAATTCAGCATATACATTTACTTCAGCCACTTTTCATTTTTATCCAAAAATCATGGATAACATATCACAAATATCTGGGACAAGCTTAATAAAAAAGATTTTTGATGATCCATTTTATAATAATTTTTAAATAGGCTACTTTTTATACATGATCATATCTATAATTAAATAATTACCATTTTACAACCCTTTTTCATCAGAGTATCAGAAAAGATCAATTTGATTATTGATAAATACTTAATGATTGACATATTAAGATTAACTTGAATTTTTTTGGCACGATGTATATATGTAGTTTGTATGTTAAAGCTCAGTTGATTGCAAACTGCAAGCAAAAACATTTGTTTGTATGCAAAATTCATTGGAATATTATATGATTTTTTTCCATACATAGTCAATACATCCAAGAGACCAGTTAACTATTTCAAATACTGAGCTATTCTTAAATATCACAAATTATCACTCTTTCTAGGACATCTAAATCTGGAGTTATTAGTTAACTACTTCATTTATAATGAATAAATATAATCCATATGAAATGTTTTCTTTTTGCTTAATAACTGACTGCTAGGTGAAGCCATATTGATGAATATATTCAGGAGAGTATAAAGTCTGTATCAAGCTAACTGTCAATGAATTAATACTGGCTTCTGTCTGGAATCTAATACATCTATAAATAAAATTAAATTAACTGTATGGAATAACAAATCACCTTATACAAAAATAATGTTCTTTAGAGGGCAGAGAACAAAGAGAATCTTGTGACTTGTTGGATTGATAGAAGATAGCTTGCCAAGCATGCAAGGTAACATATGCCCACTACCAGCTGCCAGAAATGATAACAAAATCTGTAGCGGTTTAATATGTGAAACCAATCACCCCATTGTTACTAATTTCCAAGTTTCATCGAAAAACGAATACAAAATGTATTTTCTATCAGGCCTACAAGCCAAATTAGACGCATTGAATTAATTCAAGGACCAAAACTCCAAAACCATTCATCCAATTATTACCATTTTTGAACTTGTAGTTGATATCTCATCAATATATACATACATACTAAATTTCATTGAGATCAGATAAAAACTGCACCCTGTATCATGACTACAAGCAAAAGTCAAGGGCAATAACTCTAAAACCATTCATCCGATTATGATTCAAACTTGATTGGGATCTTATCAATATATACATAAGCCAAATTTCACGTGTTTTACTAAGTCAACAGCAATAACTAAGGATACTAAGTTTCATCAAGATCAATTAAAAATTTAGCCTTTATCAAGCAAACAAGCCAAATTTAACGCGTTTTTACGAAGTCAAGTGCAATAACTCTGAAACCATTCTTCCGATTATTACCAATTTCAAAACTTGACGGAGATCTCATCAATATATACATGCATACCAAGTTTCATCAAGATCAGATAAAAATTGCAGCCTATATCAGGCATACAAGCCAAATTTAACGTGTTTTTACGTGTCAAGGGCAATAATTCTGAAACCGTTCATCCCATCATTACCAATTTCAAACTTGACCGAGATCTCATGGGATAGCAACCCCAATTAATTATCTGGCATTTACAGCATCTTTTATTCAGGTAACATTCAAAAAATTTGTAAATTTTGTTTCCTGATTTCCCATTTTCACAAGCAAATGTTTTGTACATGTTGTTCAGTATAGTTTGTGTTCATACAAGTATATCTAATAAATAACACAACATACCTGCTACTATCCGATGCCATGGTAATGTAATATATGTCAGGTAGGCATTTAAAGCTACACTACTAGCTCTTCTTTTCTCTTTAAACCAATGCCAGGCTTGACCAAATGATTTACCCCAGAAACCATTATAATGATCTGCACCTTCTACTAGTTCTATAATAAATATTATAAAAGAAATACTTTTGAATACAAATACCAATGCCATTTTTTGACTTCGGTCATTTCTCACAACTTACTGCTGTAGTCAAATATAGATGAAGCTTGTCCAAGTCCAAGTTACAGACAAGACTTATAGTTGATCCGGGTGGTCAGAATCTGCAACCATTTGACTGTCATGGTTCAGATGAAATTCTGTGTAAATCGCCAGATGATGTGGGGACCTATATCACAAAAACTAAGATAAATTTGGAGAAATACAGAAATTTAATTGGTTAATAAGACTAGATTAAATTTATTTTTATCATGATTAAATAATCCAATGACTAGAACAATCAAATATCCTAAGTTGAGTTTTTGTGAAACAGGACCCTGTACAATAATTAAACATACCATCTTGTAATGTACCAGCTTCTACTTCTTGACAATTTTCACTGTTTGATTCATCTACATTTTCTGTTTCTGACCTTGATTTCTTCATACTTAATGACCTAAAACCTCCACGGACAAACGACCCAATACCAGAACTAGGGTCACTCATTCTACGATGGGTATACTGATTCTGAAAATATAAAAATGATTTCCTCAAGAATGTAGATTTTTTGGACAATTCCTACAACTTAATGATGTAATTGGTTCTTTGTTGTATTGTAATTTAAACAAGTCATTAAAGTAGACAAGAAAGTTCTGAAGACAGTCTAGATCACCATTCTTTGTTACTATGAGACTTGATGTTATTATCACCCATATCTTTTAAACATTACCCTGTTATTATTTCACATTTTATTGAAACATTTCTAGTGTAAAAATCATGTTAAATTTTTAAATGACAACTATTCTAAGAGTGATATTGTGCTAAAATTGATGCCTAGAGATGTGTAAAATGCACATAAGAATTGCTTCTAAAAACAGAATAATACACAATCAACTTTTGATTTATTCATATGAATAAAAGCCCAAAGATAGAACCAAAATATTTTGTAATGCCAGAAACAAGCCAGAGAGGAATACACATAGAGACATTTTCAAAACTCTCATTTAAACATATAATAACCAACCAAAATGTAATAAAACTTACTGTATCATCAAAATCTTCTGATGGAAAGTTTTCAATATCAGGAGTTTCAGGACCAGAGCCTTTGACTCTACTGACAGCCATCTCAGCATGACCTTTACCATGGGGTCCTCTCATACGTAAAAACTCTACACGTTTATTATTATTCTGTAACCAACCTAGTGTCATTCTGGATGCCATTTTGGATGACAAACTTAGCTGAAAGTTAATAATAAAAAAATCAACTGGTGATAATATATCTGACAGAAATGCATGTGTGTGCTTCGTTTATACTATTTTCATGTAGACACATGTAAGTTAATCTTGAATTGGAAATCATTATTCTCAGTATCTGGTATGGATACAGAAGAATGTGAGTAAAGTGCATGAAGTCCAACAATATTGTCAACAGATCTTTGTCTAACTATTTTTAAATTGTGGTATCAGACGTCCCTCATGTATAACATTGAAAGTAAAATGGTTGACTTGTAGTACTAGTAACTTGTCTGATAAAAGTTAAATCCTCTAACTTTGGCTATAAGAATGTAAACCTTCCTGATAATATTCCACAATGTCCGGCTGTCTTCATTAGCCCGCATGGTGCAGAAAAGTAAGACGTAAAGAAATATCTATAACACTATATCAATCTCGTGCTATAATTCCTTACCTTGCCATCATACACCTTTTTTAAAGCATCATATTTAACTGAACCAAGAAATATAACACCCTGATGATCTCCATCCTTATCACTAGCTACTAATTCTACTACTACACTCTCACTATCTCTTACTACTATATCTTGGAAGGCCTACAAAGATAATAGAGTGAGCATGAACAGTTGACACAGTAGTTATAATCTATTATATGCCTGATATCTCTGATTATCAAATTCAAATGATGATGCTTGCTTGATAAGCTGAGGGTCAAAGGTTCAATCCAGGCATGGGTCGAGATAATACCTTTGGATTATTCAACCAGGTTTCCTGCAGTCAGTGATGTCATGGAAAAAGCATTCAGTCATTCGCACGGGACAATGAACCGAGTATATTATACACTGTGATTTTTATAGATCCCTCAACAGCTGCTGTTCTGGCAAAATTTTGCTCATTGCACACCACCTGACATTGTGTGCCTTCATTAACCGATTCAGGTACAGAAAAGTAGGAACTAAAACTCCATTTCAATTCAAAACTTTTTTAGGTATTTATGATAATAATACTGATTATATAGAAACACATTTTCTATGAAATATTTCCATAACTTTGAAAAGTAATTTATTTAATTAAGCACTTACCTCTTCAAAATTATCAACAGTAAAGAATATATTAGGGTAAGTAATTTTTTCTTCTGTACCCTTACCAGACATTTCTCGTTTACTGGGTGAAGGATAAACACGCTGAAATATAACAAATAAATCCATAGTCTAAGCACTTTGTTGAGTACTTGATACGGAAAGTGTAAGTTTCATAAAAGCAGAATTGTGACTAAATTTTGAATCCCACTGTTCAACAATGTATGATTTATTATTGTGAATTAAGGAACTTCATTTGGTAATAAATGTGTTTTGCCTTTAGCCTCATCTACAACTTTTTATATACATTGTACATTTTTGCACACTTCCCCTTTAACTTAAAAAATCTTACCTGTGAGAATTTGCGTAATATTTGTAAGTCTTTATCACTAGTTCTGGTGCAAATAGCACAGGTGACAGTATATTCAAATTGATGTAATATAATATTTAAATAAACAGTTTCTTCCCAGTCTATATTACCATCATTTATAGATGGTTTATTTTTAGATACCCAGCGATAAACTTCTATCTCAGGCTAAAATAGAAAAATCAAGAAGATATATTAGTAACCGAATTGGATGGAAAATTAAACTCTCCTGATGGCATTAGTAAGATTATTGATTTAAATGTGAAATCCATCTATTCTATTATATTCCATTTGTATGCTCTGGAACACTTTTTCAGCTACTCAAAAGCGATGACATTATTTCAGGAGACAAATTTGAAGGATTGAATCTTCTTTGAAGAGCAGATTATGAAATAGACATAATTAAAACCCAATTGAAAATTCAAGATTTTAAAAAGTTAATTAAGGTCACCTGCAGTGTTGAAGGCTTCCCCTTTTCTTGTTGATTTTTACGAACATAAAATAACATGTCATCTCGCTTTTCCTCTTCTGTTCCTTCAGATTCCAGAAAATATTCAGTAAATAAATCAGTCCAAAACCTATTCACAGCCACAAACTCAAAGGATCCATCATCAATTTTTTCTAAAACAAATAAAAAATCAACTGTGGTTGAATGAAGATACCTAAACACATCAAAGTCTGATTCAAAACCTATTTAAGTACGTAGCCAATTTACTCAATATTTCACTAAGAATGATCATCAAAATAGCAAATAACAATTCTTTAACTTTCACCTAAAAAATTTTGGAATCAAGCTATTGTCATCTCCAATCATGGGTTTTTGTTTGCATTCTCTCATGTAAATATCATTCCGTCAGAGTAAATTTTTAAACTCCTCTTATGTAAGCTTCTATTTGGAAGATTTAGCCCCTAAAGCTAAGGTTATAACTATAAACAACAATTGGATAAAAAATGTTTTAATTAAAAGATAAGTTGGAAGCTTCAGTATTGAATGAGAAAAAGGTAGGAGACAGGAATTATTTGATCCTGTCATCTCTAGCTCAGTTACTGGTTCCACAGAAATATGACTCATCCATTCCAATTATATTATTTCCATCAACGGTCATGTGACATAGTCTAGAGATCTATGTCATATGATAAATGAACCCTCTGAAGATGACATAAACATTGACACTGCCTAAAATAACTGTAGTCCACAGTAGCGATTCCTGTAGAAAGGGAGCAACCAATATTCTAACTTTAAGGTTGTGTGTGGGTAAAACAATTCAGAATCTATACTAACCACAGGCCTTCTGAGAGGACACAATTTTACAAAAATGTATAACAACACTTGCCATTTTATGAACAAAATGACACAATCTATCAATGAAAATTAGCTCGGCATCATCTCTTACCTATAACCTCTGGATCTTCTTTGCTTCTTTTTCGCTCTTCATTAATAGAAGTCAACATTCGCTGTAATAAACTTTTCTTTTCATTTTTCGAGTCCTCCTCCTCCGCCATACTTGAAGAGAAGACAACTCGTTTGTTTACTTCCGGTTTTATTTAGAAAAACGAAAGTAGAAATGCCGCGTCATTGTATTGTCCAAGATTAAAATCGCTCTAATAACTCTTGTATGGTTCATCATGAATGGAAAAAATGAACCATTCTCATGCTGAGTATCTTGGCCATCTTTGCTTGGTGGTATCGGGGAAAAGTTGTGACTGTCAATCGAGAGAACAATGATGGTATGTCAAAATATACTCTAAAAATTATAATATCAGTCAATATGCATGATAGATTAATGTCAAGGCGCATGATAGATATAAAAGTACCAAATTGGGTACATATCTGGCTAAAACTTATGCTCATTAATACCCATATTGATCCAATATATTTGCCTAATACAACATGAATCAATTATAAAAATCGTTTAGATATTGCAGCACATTTATATTAACCTGTTCGGTCTCTACAGATTTGCTGCCCCCAAACTTTGGTAGAGATTTTCAAGTTACAGATAGTGTGAATGACACACACTTTGCCACCAGCAATGAGCAACTTGGTAGAAGAGTTGGTCATGGCATTGTACAAAGAGGTAATGAATCAGTTATTTCATCATTTAATGTTTGACAGCAGAATCCAGATGTAGGCCTACTGGTTTTTTGTTTTGTTTAGAAAGGCCTACTTACTTAGTGAAATATTCAGTGGAGTTTGATGTAATAGTTTTGTAAAGTGCTAAGGATGGGATTGCTAAACATACGTCAGAAAATATTTATGCAAGGAACATAATTATCCTTCTTTTTACATTTGTCTTCATGATTTCATTTTAGCAATTATAATGATAATGTATTTTTTATGCCTTTGAACTCTACATTGAAAGACTTAATGGAAACTAATTCAGTTGCTTCTAAATAATCTGCAAGATATTTTGAGAAGCTTTAACCTTAAAATTCTGACTTTCAGTTCCTGTACCACGATTAAACAGGACACACCCAAATCGTCATAGATCAACCAAATCATGTAGTCAAAGCTGGATTCCTGGACTACCAGTTCATAACCAGTATATAGGACCAATTATTCAAGAATTACATCAGCTTCAACAAGATGATTTCCTTAATAATATAGACTACCAAAACCAACTTAATCATACTCTCCAGGGTACAATTTATGCTCTTTTAGAAAACAATTACATTCCTGCTATCCTAAGTCATGCAGCTATGAGTTAGTTCGAGTGAGATGTAACCCAATGGCCAATTCGCTTTGTTGCGAATGGTTGAATTTATTTGGGAAATATAGACCTTAGTGTTCACTGCACCCAGTTTTAAGAGCAAAAATAGCTGCAAGTACACCTTATTTCATTTGGCATTCCACAATTTAAATTCCTTTAAAAATAATACAAATATTTCAGTATAAAATTATTTTTTATCAAATATTATATGATAATAATATACATTATTTACATACTATATAAATTAAATTATATAAATTCATAATTTAATTCAGAGATAATTGTTCATTGATTTTTTTAAATTTTGGTTTCTTTTCTTCATATAAATAAAACTTTTTAAAAATTTTGCCTTCAAAAAGAATTTGCCAGAAGTCTGCCATTGAAATCTTTAAACATAATGCCAATGATTTCTTATTTAATATTGAAGTCTTTGAAGTGATGATATGAGCCTATAAATATATCCTTAACACACAACATAACAGTTGAAGAGATTTCTCCCAAATAAATAGCTGACAAAAAATACAAAATAAATTGACCTCAACCAGTTTGGCAGGTCCAGACCTATATAGAAAATATGTTCAAATATAGATAATAGATATAAACATTTCCAATATACAAAAATATCATGTTTTGAATTCATATTTGAAATATACCACCGATTATCAAATAATAAAACTCTATAAACATGATAATGATGAAATTCAAAGTGCTTAGCACTAAAAATGAAACTGAAAAATGAATGTGTTTAAAGAAGAAATGAAAGAGTTTATAAAAGCTAATTACAGTAGTCAGAACAGAAAATAATGAAAACCTCGAGAAACTCTTGGAAAAATATCTTTAAAATTTGCATTTACATTAATAATTTATAAATTGCAAAAATATTGTTTTACGATATATGAGAAAATGATATATGATATAATGCTTGGCATAAAAATAATGACATGATAAACAATATACAATAATTCCATCTCAAATGGATGATAAACAAAAAATAAACAAAAATCACATCTATATAAAACAGAAGTTATTTTAAATTTATCTTTAAATTACAATAAAATTTAATATATTTTGTTTTCTTTCATTAATATTTGAATCTGGACACATTCCTAAGAGCCATATGTTCACCATTAAAACATAATTTAACAAACAAATGCTCTGTTTCAGGAAGTACAAAAAGCAAAAGTTTGACATTAGTATAATATTTGTACATGTCTCTGGAATATGTCCCCGTTTGAAATATTAATGTATAATAATCAATGTGTCAACACAACCAGAGCAAATAAATTGATGGCCTTCAATAATAAGTGACAGCATCTGATGTGAATCTGCATGATGTTGCAGGTTTAAAGATATACTAACAAAACAAACTCATTTCATGAGTAATGCCATCAAATTATCACCAGATTCAGTAATGCAAAGGAAGATCACAATTTTATTTCATATTAAGTGCTATGTGGGTAATTATAGTTGAAGGAAGATATATGGGATTTTAAACATAGAAACAAGCAATTCCCTTCATTTTGAGAAGTATCAGTTGTAATAAACACAATTTAAATCTGGTTTGTATAGCTTCCTTCACTGGTTATTGTACCCCCAAATCATGTGGACTGCACTTATTTTGTTATGATTTAGTCTTGGATGATCAACTATGCCTTTGCTTAATTACAAATTACGCTGGATTCCAGTCCAGTCAAAAGCCAATGATAACCGTGATTTCTGATATAGGGTTTCAAGCCTGTTTCTTAGATCAGAAATGTAAAGTAAGAATATCACCAAAATACGTGAATATTTATCCAACCTCCAAAAGTTAAGCGTTATTTTCATGGGCCAATCAGATTTGACTACTGTGTTTTATGTTCTGTTTTGGAAATGTTTAAAAGTTATCTGGTAAATTAAAATCAGATATAAAGTTCTGAGAAGGATTTTGTTGCTGCATCTGTATGTTTTGTTGTCCATCTGTAGGAATGACACCAGGTTGTTGAGGGGGAGCTGCACCTCGTTGCATCATAATCTGTTGTTGCTGACGCATGTGCTGAAACAAAAGATTAATATTGCTTGTACCGTTATATTAATTCGATACCATTTTTACAGAATATATTTGTTTTGGTTCTTTTTAATTAAGACTCTTAAATTTACAAAAGTTTGTCTCAAGCTTCAATTAGAAAAAAAAAATGGTTTTCTTACTTGTTGATTGAGTAATAGATGACGTAGTTGTTGCTGATTCGATGCTTGATGTTGTTGTTGTTGTTGCTGCTGTTGCAGTTGTAATTGACGTTGTTGAATCTGCTGTTGCTGTAATTGCTGTCTATGAGCTAAAATCAGAATTTAAGACTATTGATTAAAAAAGAACAGTTTTGTGGTAGAGTGAACTGCCGTCTGAACAGCCACTTTCCAAAAATCAATGGTAGCTTACTTAAAAATTTCAATATGAACTCTGCCTTGTATTGTCCGTTATGGATTCTTTGTTCATCAAAAAAGATATTGTTTATTAATTATTAGTGAAACTACAGTGGTGTAACCTATTTTCGTGGATATAAGGATTCAACACTGAATTTCATCAAAATTAAAAAAACGAAAAAAAAATTTTATGTCTTAGATGTTTCCTCAGATATTCTACAAAATAATTAAAATTGGTTTATTTCGATTTTCTTTATGAATCCTTCACTTTGACCCATATTTCATGAGCAACCAACTCGGCAATGGCGGCAGAATGCGTCACTCATTTTCGTGTACAATGTTTGATCTATAAATAAGTCTAGAAAAACACGTTGTACGAATACCGGGTGGTATAATTAACTTCTCTTAGTATTTATCTTTAATATCAATTCATTATAACTAGTGTCAATTCCTTCAAAGAACCACGACTAAAAAAAAAAATAGTGACTGACAAAATAAGACACGTAGCGTGATTTATTGCTAAAAGTCACTGAAACAAGAATACGGTCCACTTTGTGTTCCATAGAAATTTTCGGCTGACACGAAATCCGCTAGTTGATCACGTGACTTCATTCGTTGGAATATAATATAGCAGACGACACTTGGAATTCCGATTACCGCTTGGGATTATAAGGAAATTCGGCCGATAAAAAATGGTATCGTTTGGTAATAAGTGAAATCCGCCATTAA